GCTCTCTCTTCCTTTGGGGGGCGCCCTCGTGTGACTCGGGGCCTTCTGGAGGATACAACCGATATAAGAAGCTGCGTGTAGTTCCTGTGAAATTCCTCCTATGCATCTGGATATGAAATGCAGCTCAACACGTATATAATCGATATTGAAATTCGTTCTGTGGAATTGAAGCAAAATCGAATGTTCTCAGGCTGTATTCCCTGAAAACCGAATGTTCTCTGGCTGTATTCCCTGAAAATCGAATGTTCTCTGGCTGTGTTCCCTGAAAATCGAATGTTCTCTGGCTGTGTTCCCTGAAAATCGAATGTTCTCTGGCTGTGTTCCCTGAAAAAATCGAATGTTCTCTGGCTGTGTTCCCTGAAAATCGAATGTTCTCAGGCTGTGTTCCCTGAAAATCGAATGTTCTCAGGCTGTATTCCCTGAAAATCGAATGTTCTCTGGCTGTATTCCCTGAAAATCGAATGTTCTCTGGCTGTATTCCCTGAAAATCGAATGTTCTCTGGCTGTATTCCCTGAAAATCAAATGTTCTCTGGCTGTATTCCCTGAAAATCGAATGTTCTTAGGCTGTATTCCCTGAAAAATCAAATGTTCTCTGGTTATGTTCCCTGAAAATCGAATGTTCTCGAGGTATGTTTCCTGAAAATCGAATGTTCTCTGGCTATATTCCCTGAAAATCGAATGTTCTCTGGTTGTATTCCCTGAAAATCGAATGTTCTCTGGCTATGTTCCCTGCAGATTAAATGTGCGAATTGAGAAAATTCCACATTATGGCCACTAGATGGTGTTGAATATTATAGGAAATAAGTGTGCTCCTCAGCTCCATCTAATGGCCATAATATTCACCATTCGCACATTCGATATGCAGGGAATACAACCAGAGAACATTCGATTTTGCTACTTTTTCAGTTGCAGAACACCCCCTATGCATCTGGATATGAAATGCAGCTCAACACGTATATAATCGATATCGAAATTTGTTCTGTGGGATTGAAGCAAAATCAAATGTTCTCTGGCTGTATTCCCTGAAAATTGAATGTTCTCAGCAGGGGCGGACTGACCATTTGGAAACTCGGGCACTGCCTGAGGGCCCGGGGTCAATAGGGGGCCCCATGAGATGCCCCTGGTACCTTTTTCATAGGCTTTTTTGAGTTTGGGCAAGGACACAGGGGCCCCATGATCCCCTATTGCCTGGGGGCCCCATAAGTTGTCAGTCCGCCCCTGGTTCTCAGGCTATGTTCCCTGCAGATTGAATGTGCGAATTGAGAAAATTCCACATTATGGCCACTAGATGGTGTTGAGTATTATAGAAAACAAGTGCGCTCCTCAGCTCCATCTAATGGCCATCATGTGGATTTTTCCCCATTCGCACATTCGAGTCTATAGCCTGAGAACATTCGATTTTGCTTCTTTCCCACAAAACAAATTTAGATACAATGTGTGAATTGGGACAGTACCACACTATGGCCTTTAGATGGAGCTGAGGAGCGCACTTGTTTTCTATAATACTCAACACCATTTAGTGGCCATAATGTGGAATTTTCTCAATTCGCACATTCAATCTGCAGGGAGCATAGCCAGAGAACATTCGATTTTGCTTCAATCCCACAAAACAAATTTAGATATCGATTTACGCGTTGAGCTGCATGTCATCGCTCTTACCCAGAGGCATCGGGGTGCATTTTAAAAAAAAAAAAACAGCTGCTCATCAATTGCAACTGCATTCTATGCAAAAGGAGAAAAACCGAATGTTCTCAGGCTATAGACTCAAATGTGTGAATGGGGAAAATTCCGCATTATGGCCATTAGATGGAGCTGAGGAGCATATTTATTTTCTATAATTCTCAGCATCCTCTAGTGGCCATAATGCAGAATTTTCCCCATTCACACATTTGATCTGAAGAGAATCTTGTCTGAGAACATTCGATTTTGCTTCTTTCCCACAAAATGAATTTAGATACAATGTGTGAATGGGGAAAATTCCACATTATGGCCATTAGATGGAGCTGAGGAGCACACTTGTTTTCTATAATACTCAACACCATCTAGTGGCCATCATATGGAATTGTCCCCATTCACACATCCTATCTAAATTCGTTTTGTGGGAAAGAAGCAAAAATGGAATATTCTCAGGCTAGATTCCCTCCAGAATGAATGTGTGAATGGCGAAAAATTCCACATTATGGCCACTAGATGGTGTTGAGTATTATAGAAAATAAGTGTGCTCCTCAGCGACATCTAATGGCCATAATGTGGAATTTTCCCCATTCACACATTCGAGTCTATAGCCTGAGAACATTCGATTTTTGCTTCTTTCCCACAAAACGAATTTGGATACAATGTGTGAATAGGGACAGTACCGCACTATGGCCTTTAGATGGAGCTCAGGAGCGCACTTATTTTCTATAATACTCAACACCATCTAGTGGCCATAATGTGGAATTTTCCCCATTCACACATTCGATCTGAAAAGAATCTAGCCTGAGAACATTCGATTTCGCTTCAGTTCCACAGAACGAATTTAGATATTGATTCTGCCAAAGAATACATTTACATGTAGTATCAAAAGACGAACATCTATACAATTTTTCTTTTTTATATATATACATCCCCAAATGTGGAAATTTCACCATTCACACAATCAGTCTCAAGCAAATATAGCCGGAAAACGTTCGATTTCTCTCCGTTCGCCTAGATGGCAATTTCGATGTTTTTCTTTTCTTTTCATTTATTTATAGAAACAGCTGCGATCATTTTTTTTCCGCAAACCCCCCAATCCCCATGGATCTGTTCAAAGGTACGAAATGTCGCTCAACACACATCTAAATTAGTTTTGTGGGACTGAAGCAAAATCAAATGTTATCGGGCTTTATATCCCGCAGATGGAATGTGTGAATGGGGGAAATGTTCCACATGGTGGCCACTAGATGGCGCTGAGTATCATAGGAAACAAGTATGCTCCTCGCCACCATCTAGTGGCCGTAATGTGGTACTTTCCCCATTCACACATTCGACCTGCAGAGATGATAGCCCAAGAACATTCGATTTGGTGAAGAACACAGATTTGCCAGACGAATAGCTGTGCCATTTGTTTGGTAAATACCCCTGTGACACTGTGTGCATTCCCCCTCTCTATTTATCCAGGTGACAACGGAAATTCAAAAAACACAGTTGTCACCGGAACAAGAGATCAAAATTCCCATCAGGACTCAGGAGGGGATAAAAAAAATAAAGGGGGTTTAACCCTTTCCTTTTTCTAACCAAAGCTATAAAAAAAAGGAAAGGAAGTGTGACTCGGGGATTATGGGATAGTAGTTTCTTCACAGGAAGTGTGACTCGGGGATTGTGGGATAGATAGTTTCTTCACAGGAAGCGTGACTCGGGGATTGTGGGATAGTAGTTTCTTCACAGGAAGTACGACTTGGGGATTGTGGGATAGTAGTTTCTTCACAGGAAGTGTGACTCGGGGATTGTGGGATAGTAGTTTCTTCACAGGAAGTGTGACTCGGGGACTGTGGGATAGGTAGTTTCTTCACAGGAAGTGTGACTCGGGGACTGTGGGATAGGTAGTTTCTGTACAGGAAGTGTGACTCGGGGATTGTGGGATAGACAGTTTCTTCACAGGAAGTGTGACTTGGGGATTGTGGGATAGTAGTTTCTTCACAGGAATTGTGACTCAGGGATTGTGGGATAGTAGTTTCTGTACAGGAAGTGTGACTCGGGGATTGTGGGATAGCTAGTTTCTTCACAGGAAGTGCGACTTGGGGATTGTGGGATAGTTAGTTTCTTCACAGGAAGTGCGACTCGGGGATTGTGGGATAGGTACCTTCTTCACAGGAAGTGCGACTCGGGGATTGTGGGATAGTAGTTTCTTCACAGGAAGTGTGACTCGGGGATTGTGGGATAGTAGTTTCTTCACAGGAAGTATGACTCGGGGATTGTGGGATAGTTAGTTTCTTCACAGGAAGTGCGACTCAGGGATTGTGGGATAGTAGTTTCATCACAGGAAGTGGAACTCGGGGACTGTGGGATAGCTAGTTTCTTCACAGGAAGTGCGACTCGGGGATTGTGGGATAGTAGTTTTTTTTTACAGGAAGTGCGACTCGGGGATTGTGGGATAGTAGTTTCTTCACAGGAAGTGTGACTCAGGGATTGTGGGAAAGATAGTTTCTTCACAGAAAGTGCGACTCGGGGATTGTGGTATAGTAGTTTCTTCACAGGAAGTGCAACTCAGGGATTGTCAACACTTTTTGGCAGCTCATGGGGCCCCCCGGGCAATAGGGGATCAGGGGGCTCCTGTGTCCTTGCCCACACTCAAACCACACCCAAAAAAGCCTATGAAAGGTACCAGGGGCATCTCATGGGGCTCCCTACTGACCCCGGACCCGAGTGCCCGAATGGTCAGCCGCCCCCTGGAGGGTAGAACTGGCCATTTCTTGCTGTCTGTGCCCCATTGGCAGGATTTGCCTTCACTTCCTGTCCTGACAACGAGGTCATCTTCCCAAGGTGAAGGACCTTACATCCTGAACAGTTGTCACCGGAGCATTTATCCCCTTTGAATCATTTCCCTTTCCCCTCATGTTTTTCTCAGTGACAGTGGTTATTAGGACAGGTGGGGAGGGTGTTTCTCAACGTTCTCAGAGGGTCTCGATCTTCCCCAATCCAAAAGCTAAAAATAAAAGTTTAGCCTTTACTTGAACGTCAAACTTCTAGATACAATAAGTACAGTAGATATATCAAGTAAAACACAATCAACCAATCAGACTTGCCAATACTTCAGCTTGTTTACATTCTCTGTGTTCTGTTTTAGGGGTGTATCTAAGCAAGTTGCGAAGACCGCTGAGGAATTTCGATGAACGCAGCGTAAAAACGGTTTTTTTTTTTTTTTGGGCCTCTACTCTACGACAGCAAGATGGATCAGGATTACTCATACTTGCCAAACATCACGGAGCTGTACTTCTCTCCGGTGTCACAGGGTGACATCATAGAGACCACAACTAATATGTCCGCGAACGTGACCTCTCAGTACTTCGACATGACCAGCAATGCCATCCTCACCTTCATTTACTTTGTGGTGTGCATTGTGGGACTCTGTGGAAATACGCTGGTCATCTACGTCATACTCCGTTACGCCAAGATGAAGACAATCACCAACATCTACATTCTCAACTTGGCCATTGCTGACGAACTCTTCATGCTGGGCTTGCCCTTCCTAGCCATGCAGGTGGCCTTGGTCCACTGGCCATTTGGCAAAGTCATCTGCAGGATTGTCATGACGGTGGACGGTATAAACCAGTTCACCAGCATCTTCTGCCTTACCGTCATGAGCATCGACCGATACCTGGCAGTGGTTCACCCCATCAAGTCGGCCAAATGGAGACGACCAAGGACTGCCAAAATGGTCAATGCCGCAGTGTGGACCATTTCGCTCTTGGTGATCATGCCAATTATGAATTATGCCGGAGTTCAGTTTTATCGCGGGAGGGGTAGCTGCACCATCATCTGGCCTGGAAACTCCGGGACGTGGTACACTGGTTTTATAATTTATGCCTTTATCTTAGGGTTCCTAGTTCCGCTAAGCATTATCTGCCTCTGCTATCTTTTCATCATCATCAAAGTGAAGTCATCGGGAATAAGAGTGGGTTCCTCCAAGAGGAAACGGTCAGAAAAAAAAGTCACCAGGATGGTGTCCATCGTGGTTGCAGTTTTCATCTTTTGCTGGCTCCCGTTCTATATCTTCAACGTCTCCTCAGTGTCTCTCTTGATTGTGCCAACTCCAGGCCTGAAGGCCATGTGGGACTTTGTGGTGGTTCTGAGTTATGCCAACAGCTGTGCCAACCCCATCTTGTATGCCTTTCTCTCTGACAACTTTAAAAAGAGCTTTCAGAATGTCCTGTGCTTGTCCAAGGTCAGCGGCATGGATGAGGGCGACAGAAGCGACAGCAAACAAGACAAGTCCAGGCTGAACGAAACTACAGAGACACAACGCACGTTGCTTAATGGAGATCTTCAGACTAGCATCTAAGTGAGCACAGCTGGAAATATAGCTGCATATCTGAGTAATTCCACCTGCAACCATCTAATCTGGTTAATTAGTAGCGGAGAGAATTGCGAAGGGTGAACAAACTGACCCATAGTTGAAGGTCTTCTGAAGGTTGCTTCTACACAGATGTGTGGAGCTCAGGTGGTCTTTCAGCTACTGCTATCATCATTAACCATTTCTATAAGTCAAAGACTAAAACGATTTCTGTGCTCTGAAGTTTTGCTTTTGGGACACCTGCACTCTGAGGCCTCTATGACTAGTCACTGCCAGACCACTTCTTTAGCTCCTCCAACAAAATGGAAATGTTGCAAGCTCTACTGGTTTCTCTCTAATATTCTCCGGGTTCGATGTGGTTCTAAACTCCCTCCTCTTTTTGCTATTCGGAAAAAAAAAAAGGAACTCATTGTTGGTGGGATTCTTTATTCAAGGAGTGTTTCCTCACCAAGAAAAGGTATCACGGAAATCTGGAACCAAGGAGCTAAAATTGGACGAGTCATTGAAGGCACCTATTATGCGGCATCTTCAACCGCCATTACAGTAAAAGGCTTTCTTCTACAACCATATCCATTATCGAGTCTTGGGATACATTTATCACATTTTGACAAGGAAATTCATATTTGTTCTTTTTGTTGCCTATGCCACCTTATTCATCGAACTTCCATTATCCATTACACATCATTACAAACACTCTAGATTACCAATTGGCAGCCCTGATGTTTTCTTAGCAATATCCGATACAATGATTGAAGACAAGAATGCACTGAGGAACTGAATTTACACCTTCTGTTTGTAAATTTAATGGGCAACCTCTCTCTTAAAGTGTCCTTTTCCAAAAAATTCACATGGTACTTTAAGGTCCCATGGGTCACGGGTATGACCAACCTTTTTGGTGGTGGATCATACCCTGCAAAGGGGCCACCGTAACCCAAGGATCGACAGGAAACAACAATTATTGAAGAATTTTAACTCATAAAGTAGGATTCTAACTCATGAATCAGAAAACTATTTAGAACATGATAAAGGAAGCTTTAGGAATGTTAGAACCGTAGGTCATGGGTAGGACCAACCTTTTGGTGGTGGATCATGCTAGATGTAACCTGCAAAGGGACAATCATAACCCAAGGATCGACAGGAAACAACAATTATTGAAGAATTTTAATTCAGAAAGTAGGATTCTAACTCATAAATTAAAAAATGATTTACAACACGATAAAGGAAGCTTTTAAAACGTTAGAACCGGGGGTCATGGGTAGTACCAGCCTTTTGGTGGTGGATCATACCCTGCAAAGGGGCAACCATAACCCAAGGATCAACAGGAAACAACAATTATTCAATTCTAACTCATAAATAAAAAAATTATTTAAAACACGATAAGGAAAACTTTAAGAAGGTTAGAACAGTGGGTCATGGTGGGAATAACCTTTTGGTGGTGGATCATACTACATGTAACCAACAAGTCACCCAAGGACCAACAGAAAGCAACAATTACTGAAGGATTCTAACTCATAAATTAAAAAAAGATTTACAAAATGACAAAGGAAACTTTAAGAAGGTTAGAACTGTGGGTCATGGGTAGGACCAACCTTTTGGTGGTGGACCATACTAGATGTTACTGACAAGGGGGCAACAGTCACCCAAGGACCAACAGGAAGCAACAATTACTGAAGGATTCTAACTCATAAATTAAAAAAAGATTTACAAAATGACAAAGGTAACTTTAAGAACGTTAGAACCGTGGGTCATGGGTAGGACCAACCTTTTGGTGGTGGACCATACTAGATGTAACCTGCAAAGGGGCAACCGTAACCCAAGGATCGACAGGAAACAACAATTATTGAAGAATTCTAACTCGTAAATGAAAAAATTATTTAAAACACGATAAGGAAAGCTTTAAGAAGGTTAGAACTGTGGGTCATGGGTGGGAATAACCTTTTGCTGGTGGATCATACTAGATGTAGACGAGGGAGCAACTGTCACCCAAGGACCAACAGGAAGCAACAATTACTGAAGGATTCGAACTCATAAATTAAAAAACTATTTACAACACGATAAAGGAAGCTTTAAGAACATTAGATCCGTGGGTCATGGGTGGGAATAACCTTTTGGTGGTGGATCATACTAGATGTAACCTGCAAAGGGGCAACTGTAACCCAAGGATCGACAGGAAACAACAATTATCAAATAATTTTAATTCATAAAGTAGGATTCTAAGTCATAAATTAAAAAAAATATTTACAACACAATAAAGGAAGCTTTAAAAACGTTAAAACTGTGGGTCATGGGTGGGAAAAACCTTTAGGTGGTGGATCATACTTGATGTAACCGACAAGGGGACAACTGTCACCCAAGGACCAACAGGAAGCAACAATTACTGAAGAATTCTAACTCATAAATTAAAAAAAAGATTTACAAAATGACAAAGGAAGCTTTAAAGAAGTACAGCATAACTGTGGGTCATGGGTAGGAACATCCTTTGGTGGTGGACCATAGTAGATGTAAACTGCAAGGGGCAACTGTTACCCAAGGATGAACAAGAAACAAATATTGAAAGATTCTAACTCATAAAGTACAAAATTATGAAAAAGGAAGCTTTAAGGAAGTTTAACCGAATATTTTTTTTTAAAATTTGGTTAGTGCCAATTCTATATAGCAAACCCTGAATTCATTCAAAGTGGTATTGACTATCCAGAGCTCCAAATGTACAACAATTCAGGAAAAAAAATATTATATTTTCAGTCGTCTTCTTTTTTTGTTTCTGGACACACAGTTTTACAGAAAGAAAAACAGAATAATTGGCAATGACAACTACTCCCAGGAGCCTCTCGATGGTTCCTGGCCTGTGTAGAAGGTGGACATGCCCATCCAATGTAAGTCAATCCAAAAGTGGACACAGCTACAATCTTCAGTCCTGAGATGAGGAGCTAATGTCATACAACTACCCCAGGAGCCTCTCGTTGATGGTTCCTGGCCTGTGTAGAAGGTGGACATGCCCATCCAATGTAAGTCAATCCAAAAGTGGACACAGCTACAACCTTCAGTCCTGAGATGAGGAGCTAATGTCATACAACTACCCCAGGAGCCTCTCGTTGATGGTTCCTGGCCTGTGTAGAAGGTGGACATGCCCATCCAATGTAAGTCAAACCAAAAGTGGACACAGCTACAACCTTCAGTCCTGAGATGAGGAGCTAATGTCATACAACTACTCCAGGAGCCTCTCGTTGATGGTTCCTAGCATATGTAGAAGGTGGACATGCCCATCCAATATAAGTCAATCCAAGAGTGGACACAGCTACAACCTTCAGTCCTGAGATGAGGAGCTAATGTCATACAACGATGACAACCAAGTGCACATTGCCTATCGTTCACTACATCTGTGCAGTTTGTGGATATAATCAAAATCTTGGGGTTTCTTTTGTTTTTTTTTTTTTTTTTTTTTTTTAATCTGTGAAGTAGACCACAAAACACTGTATCAATGTTCCAAGGATGAAGCGTTATCTTGCGCATCGGAAATAAGTCACTGAATGTGTGCCTTTGCTTGTTGTGCGCAGGTCTGGAAGCCATTTTGTTTCTGTTGTAGCCATATTTAGGAAACTAGTATAACTAGTTGTATACCCACATGGAAGAAAAATACATTTGAAATATATTTTTTAAAATATTCTTCCCAAATATATTGCCATATATTTGAAATGCTACAATTTTGGCCGTATTCAATATATTTCAATTTAAAAAATTTTTATATATATATATACATAGTATTTTAGATATTTACATATACATACACACACACATATATGTAAATATATATATATATATATATATATATATATACATAGTATTTTAGATATTTTTTAAATATATTCTTCAGACTTTTTTTTTACATATAAAAAAGTAATTTTAACAGATATTTTTACATATAGTTGTAAATGCGTTTGAAATGTATTTTTAAAAATATTTTTCATATATTTTTGTAATAAAAACGCATTATATATATATATAAAATTATTTTATATATATACATATATAATATATATACACATATATATATATATATTATATTTGTGTGTGTGTATATATATATATATATATATACATACATATATACATACACATACTGCATGTTGAAATGCGTTTTTATTACAAAATATAAGAAAAATATTTTTAAAAATACATTTCAAACATACTGTATGTCTTTAAAAATACAAATCTACATTTTTGGAATGCATTTAAAAATATATGTAAAAATGACTTTTTTATATGTTAAAAAAAATCTGAAGAATATATTTAGAAAATATATAAAATACTAGTCTCCAATTGAATTGCTTTTTCACAATTTAAATATAACAATTGCATATGAATATTACAGGTTCAGGCTCTGGAAGGGCTGGATAGTTGGAACAAATGAATGACACATCCCTAAATATATATACATCCTAATCAAAAAAAAAAAAAGGTTTTTGAGGTGCCGATACATCAAAAACAACTATTGATTATCTAAAAATATGCAATATTGTATGTAATAAATATGTATGTAATATATATGTAATGAATAATATAAATATATAAAATAAATAAAATATTGTAATTTTTTTTAGATAATCAATGTAGTTTATGATGTATTGGCACCTTAAAAATCCAGATTTTTTGTGTGTGTATATGGATTTCACATATTTACTATTTGCAACCAGTAGGGGGCATGCTGTTTGAAAGAGTAGCAGCTCTCTGATACCTCAGCCTATGATTAGAGGAGGGACACAACTCCCCTCCCTCTCTTCTAGAAGAGACGGAATCATTTAAATTAGTTTTTTTGGTGAAAAAAAAAAAAAAGAAGGTATTCCACTTCTTACAAAGACTCCTGGTCACAAGATCCAACTAACACGTCACAACTTCTTTGGAAACATTAGTCCTGATTTTCAGCCCAGCGACTAGGAAGGTAGGTTCATCTGTGGGCGCGGCTTAGAAAACCTGGGCGGGTTCTTGATTTT